ACAGACAAAGACAAAGACAAAGACAAAGACAAAGACAAAGACAAAGACAAAGACAAAGACAAAGACAAAGACAAAGACAAAGACAAAGACAAAGACAAAGACAAAGACAAAGACAAAGACAAAGATAAGATAAGATAAGATAAGATAAGATAAGATAAGATAAGATAAGATAAGATAAGATAAGATAAGATAAGATCAGATCAGATAAGATAAGATAAGATAAGATAAGATAAGATAAGATAGCAGTAAAGCCTGAACCCTAAATCTTACCCTTATCCTCAAAGGACTCATATTTTAAGGCTTTTGTGCCCAAAGACCGTATGATACACGGCTTCTGGACTATTCTGGTGCTAGGGGTAAATTTTGATTTGACCATTTCTTACCCTTCGCATGCGGCCGAGGGCACATTGACACTGCGCCGTGGCATAGTTGGGGCCACCCTCGCAATGGTGGGCGCAAGACCAATGGAATGCCTGAGCCGGGTCTAGGCTCCCAAGGCTCATGATACAGAGGCGGTCACAAGTTTGGGATTTCAGCATCTTCGGGGCTTAGGGTGTGGTTGAGGGCTTGTAAGGGGGTTGGACGTCGAGTTGACATCCGAAACCTGCTCATTACGTCTTTTGGGATCTTAGGGTTTAGGGTGCAAACTCCCAGAGACTTCTTTGCAAACCCATTTCATCTACCTGATATAAACCCTAAACCCCAAAACCCCTAAACCCTAAACCCTAAACCCTAATACAAACCCTAAACCCCAGAACCCAATACCCCATAGAATTCCTGTCAAACCCATATAAACTGACCTTGTATTAAGCCTAATCCCGAAACCCAAAACCCAATTCCTGTAGAGAGTTCCTCTTCAACCCATAAAACCTACCTTATATAAACCCTAAACCATGTACACCAACCCAATCGCACAGAGAGTTCCTGAATACTAGAACCCTGAACCCTAAAATCCTACAAGTACAACCCTGAACCCCCAGGGAATTTCTTTCAAACCCTAAAAAACACACAGGGACCCTTACTAAACCCTTACCGCCCTTGGGGTGCCTTATATAGACCTCCACAGACTTCCTTTCAAAACCCGCCTTGCCATCGGTGCGGTCTTTGTACCCTGGTTCGCAGACCGGCACCACCACTTCCTCAGTTGGCAGAGGGAGGCCTGCCGATTCGTGTGTTTATGGGTGTGTGTGTGTGTATATATATATATATATGTGATAATGTACAGCAGACCCACAAAATATTTGTGTTTGGTTTCATAAGGCTTGTCTAGCGCGTTAAGGGCTTCGCCGCTTTAGGGGTGTGTGGCTACATTCCTTGGGGCTACACACAGACTTCGGTGAACCTAAGTTTTTAGGAAGTCGAGGGAAAAGAACCCCAATCGAGATCCTCAAACACTTGCACGCTTCATCAAAGTATCCCTCTTGCAGTCCCTATGATCATGTAGCTGTACTATGATATGCGCGACAAGCATCGTCTGATTGTTCGGGCCTCTGTATCAGTCCTGAAAACCTAAGCCCAGAACCCTGAACCCTAAACCCTAAACCCTAAATCCTAAACCTTAAACCCTCAGCCCACAACACCCAAACCCTAAACCCTAAACCCTCAGCCCCCTAAATCCTAAATCCCCTAACTCCTCACTCCTAGACCCTAACCCCCCCAAAATCCGAAATCCTTAGCACCCCAACTCTGAAATGTTTGGGGCCGGAGGCTGCAGCCTCGGAGGCCTCTACAAGTTCCAAGGGATCTGTAAGACTAGGGTTTATTTTAAAAGGAGTTTAGGGGTTTAGGGTTTAGGGCTTGAGGGTTTTAGGGTTTTAGGGTTTAGGGTTTAGGGTTTAAGGCTTTAGGACTTAGGGTTTAGGGCTTAGGGTTTAGGGCCTAGGGCTTAGGGTTTGGGGGATCTGCAAGACTTCTTTGAAGACTTTGGCTTAGCTGGTTTAGCGCGTAGGGCTTCCGCTTAGGCTTTTAGGGCTTAGTTGATTTACGGTTTAGGGCTTAAGGCATAGGGCTTGGGATTTATGTCGTGTGCAAGTACGAACCCTAAGGAAATCCAACAAGTTAAAGTCCTGAAATCCAAGCCACATCCCAAACGGCTAATTCCCAAACTACTTCCGAGAGGGATAGCAGGTGTCCAGCCTCGGGGTCATGTCAAGGGGTGCATGGGCTTAGGGCTTGGGGGTCTTAGGGTTTAGGGGTCTGAGGGTTTAGGGTTTAGGGTTTAGGGTTTAGGGGTCTTAAGGTCTAGGAGTCTCTGTAGAGTCTCAGGCAATGAACATGTCTGGGGGTCTGTGGGTTTAGGGTTTGAGGGTCTGAGGGTTTCAGGGGTCTCCGGGTTTAGGGGTCTTTAGGTCTAGGAGTCTTTGTAGAGTCTAAGGCAATCCGGAAAGTCTCGGTAATGACTCCTGAAGCACACTGTAAAAACGATACAGGGTCCATGTGCGACATTGGCCCTGAAGCACTTATGTAGGGTCTACATTCAGGCCGACGTAAATAATTACTATGTATGAGTACACGGATCCTTATAATGCGCTCGCGCGTTAGAAGAAGATCCACGGTATAAGCATCACAAGTGAAAACAGGATTCTGGGAGGGTATGGTGATGCTAAACACATGGTGATGTACAGCTGCCTTGCGAATCGCCAGCTCTGACTACTCGTAGATCGTTGTAGATCCTGAACCCCTGAACCCTCAAACCCGAAAGTTAAACCCTCAAACTAAAAAGCGAAAAGCTCCGCACGCGAAATCGTAGGCGGTGGCAATCCGCGGGCCCTTCACCGCCAAAACGCAAACCCTAAACCCTAATTAATTAACCTGTACTGCCAAATTCTTGCTTAAGCTCGGGAGGTTCAGGTTAAAACTAAAGCTCCAATCTAAGTCGTAAACCCTATGCCCTATATATCTTAGGGTGTCGGGTTTATTGGAAGCTCTTCCCCCTACCAACACAGGCCTTAGTGGCTGAGTACCCTAGCCCAAAAAAGGTTTAGTAGGATTAGATAAGCCCCAAAAGGTTAAAGGTTATCTACTCAGCCCCTAAGAAGCTCAACAGGCAGGACAAGGCTCTATCGAGTCCAGACCTTGCTGCGGCGCCTGCAGTACTTAAAGGATCATGGGACTTAGAAAGTAGGGCTATAAGTAGGGTAACTATACTTCTAACCCCCAGTCAGGGGACTTATAACCTTACTTACTAAGTCCCATGATCCTCCACGTACTTTGCTTCTAAAGGCTCAGGGTCAGGGGTTCTACAGGGTGCGAGAAGGCCCTGTGAGGAGGTGAGGGTTTCGTTGGCTTTTTAAAATGGCTGGTGAAGGGTTTGGGAGGCCTGGGCTGAGTTGAGGCTTTATGGGACCAGTGTTTCAACTTTGGGGCTTGGGTTTAAGGTTTAAGGTTTAGGGTTTAGGGTTTAGGGTTTAGGGTTTAGGGTTTAGGGTTTAGGGTTTGGGGTTTAGGGTTTGGGGTTTAGGAGGTTGAGTTGAGACTTTATGGGGCCAGGGTTGCAGATTTGGGGTTTGGGCTTAAGGCAGATAAACCCACCAAGAAACATCCAATCACACACTCGGAATGCTATTACTCAGGGTTTCAGTAAGGGTTGCGTGGGGTTCTCTCAGAAACCTCAAACTCTAAACCTTAAGGTCAAAAAAGCCAAAACACAAGACCCTGAAGCAAACTTCAACCCAAAAGCATTAAAGCCCTCAAACCTTAAAATCCTATGAACCGTAGACAAAAAGCCCGCAACGGACTGCATACAGATGTCTCGGGCTGAGGATTTGGGTTTAGGCTTTGTTTGACCTGGTCAACCAACATTGTCAAAGGTCCTCCTGAGGAGAGCTTTTTGTCCAATCCCACACCACCCAAACGAGAGTTGGTCTCGTTGGGGTGCCAAAAGGTCCTCCGCAGGAGAGCTTGTTTTCCAATGCCACAGCACCCAAACGAGAGTTGGTCTCGTTGGAGAATCTCTGCAAAGACTCTGAGATGTGCTTCACCTTGGACAAGGCTGCTTTCTCTGAATCCAATGCCAGGTCCACAAGGCGCGTTTAGGGTTTAGGGTTTAGGGTTTAGGGTTTAGGGTTGAGGGTTTAGGGTTTAGGGTTTAGGGTTTAGGGTTTAGGGTGTGGACTTGAACATCTCCGGAGAATCAGGGCAGTCCAGTGAGGTGATGTCCGCTTCTGCGGACCTCAATGGTTACGATCGGGTGTTGGGACCCTAAACCCGAGCTGTAGAACCGACACCCTAATTAATTTTGGGGTACATGGACCAGAAGGATCATAGTTTTACCACTGCACCCCGACATCCTAGTAAACCCTAAGCCCTAAAGCCCTACAAGACCCTAAGCCCTAAACCGCTTACAAACCCTACAGAACCCCTACAAGATCGACCCGGGAGGCCCTGAAAGAACCCGTGGCGCTTTTTGTAGGGATTCCTGTCCAAGGGGTCCCTTAACGGAGCCCTGTAGTACCCTTCAAGGAGCCCTTAAAGGAACTACCATAATCCGGGATGGCCCAAATAACCCCACGCTTCGACCCCGAACCCCTGCGCTCCAAACCTCTTCCCAGACCTCTCGGAATGTGGGTTTGGGGTTTATTTAGGGTTTCGGGCTTAGCGGATCCCTTGATTTGGGACCCTATACTACTAAACGGTCAACAAATAAGAACCCCCAGAAAGGGATCTACTTTCTAGATCCTTTCGGGGGTCCGGGTCCGGGTTAGATGAGCACGAGGCAAAAGCAACCCTCAAACAATCCCTACTGCAACCCCAAATAACCTAATTTGTTAAGGAACTTATATAAAGAAACCATAGTAAGGATCCCTAACAAGGTAGGTTTTGTAAGGTCCAGGTAAACTTATAAAGCCTCAACCCCCGAACGAAGCCCGGCAACTAGCCGAGAAGCCCAGAACAAAAAGGCCCCAGCCACAAGGCAAGCCGAAGGATAGGCTCGGAAAACTGCCCCAATCACAGAACCCTAAACCCTGAACCCTTTTAAACCCCTACTACCCCTCACCCTTAAAGGACTCATATCTTCAAACTTTTGGGCCCCAAAGACCCTATTATAACAGGCTTTTGGGTGATGTTGATGCCAAGGGTTTAAACCCTACTACAGTGTTACTACAGCTAGCCAAAAGCCAGAAATCATTACAGTAGACCCTGTTCTGGATTTACCTTAAACCCAAAGCCCTCGACCCTTAACCCTTAACGCCAAAATCAAAACACTAAAACCTGCACACTAAACCCTAAAAGCCCAAAACCTAAACCCTAAAACCTAAAATCTAAACCCAAAGCCCCAAAGCTCAAAACCCCAAACCGACCATTCTTAAGTAAAGAATCCCGAGGAACCCAGCCGACGGGACAGGAGGCCTGCTGCACTCTTCGGAGCGAGGACGAAGGAGAACTCAAGTGCCCTGGCTCGATTTCGGGTTCCTTTAAGTGCTCGTTTCGGGGCTTCTTAAGGGTTTTAGTTGACGGTTCCTTTAAGGGCTCC